AACAATGCAGAGTAGCAGGGCTGGGTGTGAACATTCTTGCATAATGAGGACTCGGAGATAATGAAGCTACTGACAGAAAAAGAAATATATGCCAAATTATGTCACAGAAGTGGGTAAAAGAGACTTGACACCCCTTAAAGATGCTGACCAAATTGGCTTTGTGTGACAAGGCCTTCAATAAAGACCTATTATTTTGCAGCAAGATTCTTTATCTATCTCCTTTTTTAATCAAAGCCAGATCAGTTCTCCAACTCAGGTCACAACATGGCTATGCATATACCTAACACCACACAGGAAAAGGCAAGAAGAAATAAATATGAAAGATAATGGATTACCAATTATTCCATCCTGGGAATCACTGCTGGGAACAACAGGGGTGGAGCATATTACATGCACTCAGGAACATGTTTTCTATATATTTGTATTGGTGTATACGGAAATAAAAACCTTGTTTCCCAAGAAAACAAGTGCATATGATCATACTCCATGTATTGGTTAATATCCCACCTTAACTTTGGAAGTCATTAGTCAAATGCAATGAAATTTGACAGTGCTAGAAAGAAAAGCAAATAAAAAAATGTAAACTTTAAGCAGGGTTCATGAAATACAAAGACAAATACAGAAGAGAGAACTCATTCACAGTGCCACTGAGGGAAGACTGTAAAGTAATCCCTACACTTGTTGAAGGAGTAACCATGACTCTCTTCAGAAGGGATTATAGTTACTAGCTGGGCTCTGCAGTAGAGGCTACACCTCCTCCTGGTCCTGCTGGATGTTCTTCAGGGTAACCCAAGGTAGCATCTGCCCCAGTGTGTTTGGAGTTACAGTTGCTTTCTCTCTATTGACTGGCTTCACTGACCACTTGATAATTTTCCGTTTAAGTGAAACCGAATTTTGGCAATAGATCCTGACTCTGTGCCCGCAGGTGTGACTGGGCAAAGTCAGGCAGCTGTTTGGGTGTGGTCTGTCTGGCTTGTGTTTGCCATCACATTTTTATGTGACTTTACGACCAATACAGGTTACAGGTGGCCACACAAGCAAGCTCCTTTTATTTGCGGGATTACATGGTCCTTAGGGACATGAGGGACCACAAAAGACTGGTGGAAGAGTAAATGGATGTTTTCAGGCTGGAGTTTAGAAACTTGGACTTTTGTGGCTTGCAATGGTGTCACGCTTCCACCATGAGTGACTGCCTCTCCAATCAGTCCCACACATGTTAGTGTGGGGCACTGACATCAGCCTACAAGCAACTGATGTGAGAAGTGAGGAGGGTGAGAAACCCCTGCCCTCCATGAGCGTGGCCCAACTTCCAGCAGTGCCATCAATACCTATTCTGGCTACCAGAGATCTTCCAACCCATAGTTACACGGTTGTGAAGGTCCCAAATAAATGTCCACCACATCCAAATGGGTGCAGATGGGTGCTCTGTATCTCTCAGAAGAGAGTTGCCTCCTACTATCACCCATTGCCTTTTATTAATTCTGCTGGTTGTTACACTGGGAGCAGATCAGGCTGCCTTACTCAGCTGCAGTGTCTCTGCTGATGTGACAGGTCCTTCCTCTTGCAGAGGGGTTCTGCAAGGGGACCTCAGGCTTTGGGGAAATCTCTTCTTCCTGCTTCCTTGCTGTTGCAATCTTCCATTCTTCTGCGTTACTGACCCCCTTCCTTCTGTGTGCATCACTGGGGAGGTTTTGGCTGTTGGTCTGTTGAGTTCTGGATCCACTGCAGACTGTGCTTGGAAAAGCTATCTAATTCCTTCTCAACCTCCCTGATGTTATTCAGCCTTCTCACTGCCTCCTGCAGCTCAGCACCTTCTGCAGGAGGTCCTCCACCTGGGCACACCTTTTGCAGGATGGTCTGTTGCCTGTCCCTGCCCAGGAGAAAGATCTCTCCCCTTCCAGCAATTGCAGATGTGTACTGCAGCCTCTCCTGTCAGCAGCTCTCTCTGGGTGGAGGCATTAGCCCCCACTGGGGTACGTGGTGCAGAACCCCCAACCAAAACTGCAGCCTTTTCTCTTAAATAGCAGTCATCTGATATTTAATTAAAGACAACGAGCAGGGAGACACAAATCTACAGAAAACCAGTCTTTATTAATTTTGCTGCACTCAAGAGTTGTATGCTTTCTGCCATATCCATTAAGACAGGGACTAGTAATGTCTCACAGTCAAATGAATTATATGGATTTAATGCTGAAGACAGGAAAAGGTACTTGAGCACAGAGATGCAGCCACTGGGATGGAGTGATCACAGAAACACCTTTCTGTGTATCCAATGAGCACAAAATGTGTCTGAGCCAATTGTTCCCTAAACCATCAGTAGCAGTCTGCCTGGGAGTATGAATATGCAGAACCCTCTCTCTGCCTCACTGCTAATTTCCCCAGTGTGGTGGCATAGCTGTTGCTATTGTAGTTACAACTCCAACTCAGACACTAATAAATTACAAAGTAAAACATTCCTGTCCTGCTGCCAAAAAAAGGGTATCTGACAGAGCTGGGAAATCCCGATCTACCAAAACTAAATTTCACCTTCCAGGTCCAGCGGAGTAGCAGACAGGACTCAATCACTGATTTAAAATACAGCTTGCTGCAGTTAATCCTGACTTTCTGCACAAGAACATGACATTTACAGCAAATAAAATTTAAGAGTTAACTGGCAAACAAATTTAACTATGGTCATACTGCTAGTCTCACAACTAACAACAGCTCTCTAAAGGAAGCCCAGGCTGTCACTATGCCAGGGCTGTGGATGGACCCAGCCATGATGGTGGAAGATGCTGTCCCCAGCTGCCTGCCTGCAGTCTCTTGCCAGAGATTAGCCACATGAAATCTCATACAAGTGCTTTTTAGCCCATTTCAGACAAAATAAGCTATATGAGCTTGTGCAGCTCATTTTTGATAACCTGATGCTTATGGTTGCAACGGTGTACATGAAAAAACAATCTCAGAACCACAGAATCACTTAGGTTGGGAAAGATCTTTAAGATCAAGTCCAACAGTTAGCTTAGCACTGCCAAGTTCAACGCTAAGCCATACATGTGACTTCTAAATACCTCTGGAGGGATGGTGACTCAACCACGTCCCTGGCCTTGACACTCCCTTATCCCAGAAGAGGCCCCACATATTCAATGAGAATGGGTTTACTTCCTTACCCAAATAGCAGAAGATAAAGATGCCAAGATAAAGAAGGATAAGGATATCTTTACTCCTACTGATATGTGGCATAATTCCAATTAATGTTAAAGAGTGGGGCCAGTGGACACTACTTGAATCACATTTCTCTAAGAACTTCTTGTAGTTTAAGCTCTTCCTTCTTCAACTCAAGGCTACTGTGCCTCCTACTGCCACCTATGGGAATGCTTAGATAGGAGACAAAAAACATCTGCAAGTTGTAGTGACAGGCAGCTGAGGACTGGCTAATGATCAACAACTTCTACGGGTACAGTTATTTGTAGAGTTTCGTATCTGCCTAGTAAACAACCTGTAAGCTTATACTTTAGAAAGTTTGAAAACTCCAACTGCTATCACTGCAATATTTTTTTCTCATTGTACCTGGGAATTTCTCAACACTAAATTCTAAATCACAGCCAAGTACCAGATGCTGGGATATGATCCTTCCCAGATGTAAAATATCCAGAGGTTCCATGTCTACAATATAAAAGCTACCCAGGAATATCCTCTTTCCTTTAATAGTAGTCCTGGAAATCTTTCTTCTGGTCATTCCAGTATAAAGTGTAACCAGACAGTACACACATGTAGTTTCACTAGAAAGGGAACAGCCATTTATAACCCGGGGAACACTGCAGATCAGGAGCACAAGCACACAAACAGTAAGTCATTAACTGGGTGCTTTAGAGACACAGTCTGAGATAACTCTGTCTTTTAATGCTACAGTTCTATGATTTCATTTTCCCAGCTAACACAAGTTTATTTGATAGGCACTGCAGTAAGCCCATAAGTTATATAGCCAAATCTATCCTGGCTGCCATAGCAAGGGAAAGGATGGACAGAAGTAATGACACAGGAATCTCCCCTATCATAGCTTCCTTTACTTTTTACCTGTTACCAGTGAGCACTTGCCAATTTGTATTTTCTACCACCTGCATGATAAGTGATAGCCTCTCAAATGTGTGTAAGAACCAAAGTCAGAGAATTAAGTTTACAAGTCAAGGGAACATGGGAAAAGGAAAACAAAGTGATAGCAATTCAGACCTGTGAGTTTGATGCCTATGTAAACCCAAACATGCAAATAATGCTTCTTGTCACCATCTGAGGTAGAAACAATCACACAGCTCTGATTCCTGTAAGCTGTATGGGCTTTCAGTTAACTCCTATGCTCTGATAAACAGTTTTACAAGTTTTACCAGCTTCTCTCTTTTTCTCTCCTGTGTTGATAAATACTTCTCTTACTCAGACTGTCGGAATACAATAATGAGAATAAACATCTTCCTGTGCTCTATCACCAGTGTTTTGTTACTCAAGGATGTTTCAAATTAACAAAAATAAGGAGTGGAGGAAACTGGACAAATGGGCAGTAACACAGACATCAATTCAATTACCAAGTGTGTAACTTCGGTATCTTACAGGTACAGCCTGCATTAGCAACTAACTGGCTCAGGATTTCTGTGCCAGCCTGAGGACTGCTGCTTTTACAAATATGAGGCAAGTCAGAGGAGTACGCCTCATCAAACAGGCCTCTGGAGGCTTCTCTGAGCAGAACAACCAAAGCTTTTCTGCCTTTGGCCCTTCAGTTGTGCATTTCTACCAAAAACTGGACAGACCAGGGCTGGGGGCTCCTCCCCTGAGAGAGGCACAGCCCAACACCACGGGCAACTATTGACCTGCGCAACCTCTGCCAGGTGATACCACCCAGATAGCTGCTGAGGAAAGAGCAGGACAACCTCCCTTACCAAAGACTGGGGCCTACGACCCGTATAACCACTTTACGCGCCCTAAACCCTGCCAAAGCCGCGCAGGCGCAGTGACGAGACAGACAGTGAGCCCCGCCTCTCGACGCCCCGTGAGCTCTGCGGCGTCCCGTAGTGGCAGCGTAGGGTGCTGGCGAGATGGCGGCGCAGAAGATCAACGAGGCCCTCGAGCACATCGCTAAAGCGGAGAAATAGTGAGCGGAGCGGAGGGGAGGGAGGTCGGGGAGGGGAGAAGTTGGCGAGCGGGTGCGATGGTTGCCAGTTTATCGTTCGGGCTGTCAGGCCTGCCCGGCTTTCCTGCCCCACGGAGGCGGCGTACCGCCTCCTGCTCGAGTGGGTTCTGCGGTGTCGCGCTGTTTGCTGCCGCGGTCGCCCCCCGCGGCCTCTGAGCCCGGAGGCTGCTGTCCGCCCGGTTAGTGCGGCCGCTCGACAACCCCCCCACTCCGGGCCGCGACGGGGAGGTGGGTTCCTGGGAGTTGTAGTTCTCTACGCTCCGTTCGGGGAGTGGAGGTCTCGGGGGAACTACAGCTCCCATGATGTCCTGCGCGGAGTCTTGAGGAGGGGTAGCCGGTGGGGAGGTGGTGGCCGCGCAGAGGGGCTGAGGGGAGACCGCAAGTGCCAGGTTATGGAAGCTCCGGGGAATGGGAGGGAGGTGCGGGGCTGGGGTAGGCTTGCGCGGGGGGAGTAGAAGAACATGGCTGTTTGGCCTCTGTTCTGCCTCAGAGGTCTCTCCCTGCAGGAGCTGGGTGCTAGAGGTCACCCTTCTTCCCCGATATGGGAGAGTTAAAGCAGTCCTGAAAACTAAAAAGTCGGTGAGGCTTGAGTGCTGGAGCCTGAGTAGTTTCCTTAAGGGCCATGTAGCCTTTATTGCTCTGACCCTAACTGGGAGGCCAAGGAGTCACTTCTGGTTTTCTGCTAAAGTTAGTGGGAGAAAGACAAGTGGGAGAAAAGCGTTATGGGGATTCTGATGGATAAGGCTTGCTGAGATGGGCTGTGTGTTTGTTTCCTTGCTATGAGAACTCTGTCATTGTTTCTTTTTAGATGGCTTCAAAGACCTGTGCTGACACTTACTTTAGAGGGCTTAATATCTACATGTGATAGTCTTTTAATGTGTATTTTAACACTGAATGTAGCAATTTTGTTTATAAGTTTGAATTGCAAAGACTACAGTGTAGCTGCAATAGATCTGACTAATCCAAAAATGCTGTAATTTTAATAAGAAGTGATGGGCCATTGGGAAATCACAGATCAAAGGTATAAACTGTGATAGAGGAGAGACTTCAGAATAAAAACATCTGTATCTGATTATCTTACTCAAATTAGTTGACCAAAAGTGCCTTTCTGTGAAATTCATTTTAAGCTTATCCTGGCAAGCATTTCAAATAAAAGGTGCCTACATCTCAAATTGTGTGTGGATTAAAGCATTGTCTATTTCAGCTCAACGCATTTGAGATTTTGCCTGTGTTTAAAACAACACAATATAAAGACTTGATTTAGAGTTACATGCTGGGGTTTTCAGCCAAGTAAAACAACAAAACCAACACAAAGTCTATATACAACATTTTTTCCGAATTAAGCATGAAGCGTCTGCCTACAACAGATAGGGAAGTTGACTGTAAAGTTATGGTAATTTTTATATTTGTTTTGGAGTTGAAGAAGTAAATCATAATACTGAAATCAGCATTGCCTAATGACTCACCTCATTTTGCAGGGTTTTTTTTTTCTTATATATATGTTCTGTGAGTGCACATGGTGCCATTTAGTGTCATATTCTGTTGTACACTTACGAATTATATATAAGGCTTTGTGTTGGTAAGTAAATGCTTTCATTTGTAAATGCAGTGGAGAGTCTCTGATAATTCTCAGCAGCAAAAAATTACTGTAGAAGTACACCGACATCTTTACGATGTGTAGCAAAAAAAATATTGTCAGGTTTTGTGGTGTTAGAAATCCTGAGATGCCATGTTGGTCTTGGTGGGATAATTTTTCTTCTGTTGACTAATTACAGTTGAGGAGCTGGACTTGTGAAGACTCTAGGGATGGTGGAAGCATGTTAGGGGAGACGTAACTATGGGAGATCACTGCAGTGCTTTATGCAATTCTGAACAATAAGCAGCATTTATTTTTACAGTAGTGATGCCACCATACTACTGGCATATATGTAATTGCTTCTTTTCACAGGTAGTCTACAGTTTTGAATATATCTGAAGTGCTTTGAAGGTAAAACATAAAATCTTTACTAGTTGCTAATAGGCCTTTCTTCTTGCATTTCAGTCTGAAAACTGGATTCTTAAAGTGGAAACCAGATTATGACAGTGCAGCTACTGAATATGGGAAGGCAGGTATGCATGGCTGTACATATGGCCATATACTTTACGGTTTAAAAGTATTCTTTAAGCTTAATACTGGTAGAATTTTACATATTTTCAGTACATTGCCATGTAGGTGAAACTGTTGTGAAGACTAAGTTGAAACAACAACAACAAATTCTCTTTGTAGCGTGGTAACTTAAATTTCAGATTGTACTTGGAGATCTCTTAACAGTTGTCAGAACTTTTTTTTTCCCAAGAATGTAACTTCTACTTCATATATTACTGCTTGTGATAAATATAAAGCTTGCTTTCTATCACTTGTCTATCCTCTGAAACCTATGACTTTACCTACAAAATACAAATATTTGAGCTGGTTTTAAAACTTCTCTTTGTCATCATATTAGGAAACATGTCCTGACAAAGGCTGTCTCAGTAAGGTAGAGAGATGTTGCCAGGGTTTTTTTTAGGTGTACTAAGATCTCTTTCATCCTTTTTTTTCCCACTACATGTGTTACAATGAATATAAAATTCTTATTAATTGAGTCCTTTTTGCTCTTAAACGGTTTTTTTTTTCTTTTTCAATAAGAGTTATGGGGCTTTTTTTTTTAGCCTTTTGCTCTAGGAATTCTTATTCATTTAAGACTAAATAGAAATAAACCAACAAACTTGGAAAGGCAACTGGAACATTTATAAATTGAAATTTATTTTAAATCCTACTTTAAAATTCTATCAGCCTAGTGGGGATAAAATAAATATTTGTGCCCTGAAATAATTGTGTTGAGGAAGCTGTTATAGGTACACTTTGCTGATGGTGCAGTTATATTTCTGCCATACTGATTTTGTAGAATCTCTAATGATAAAATCTGTATACACATGCATTCCTGCAGTTCAGTCATTAAAATACAGAATGAGTTCTAAAATCCAGCTAAACATGTTGTACTTGATGCATGGTACAATGAGGGTATGGATGTGTTGTTGGTAATAAATGTTCTTAATGGTGACTAATGAAGCATGGAGAAATGTCATAGGATTTTTTTTTGGAAGAGCATGGTAAACTGTAGGCATTCATTAATGAGTCTGTTTTTATCTTTAGGTGGCTAAATTCTTGAGCAGAAGTGGTGACAAAATGAAATCTACAAGATGTAAATAAGAACTTTATCTGATTTCTTGCAGCTGTTGCTTTTAAGAATGCCAAGCAGTTTGACCAGGCAAGGGAAGCCTGCTTGCGGGAAGCTGAGGCACATGAAAACAATAAAGCGTATCTTTTCATTAAATGTTAGTCTTTTTTTCAAGAAGCTGACTAGTTGCTACTTAGGATGGGGTAAGAGGAGTTGGGGGAAGATGTATTTAATATATTTGCATGTTTGGTCAAGTTAACAAAATTGACTTCTAAAAGACACTTTCTTTGTTCTCTGAGTGGCAAAACTAAAAAATTCTTCTGGTTAAAAAGTCTGTGGTTTTTCCGGTAACAACTGGAGTGATAAGATGCTGACCAATGCCTGAGATGTCTGGATACTGCTTCAGAAATTACTACTTTTTTTATTCTTAAATACCTGTAAGTGGGTAGTATAATCTAAGTGCAACTCTGACATAATTACAGTACTTGTAGTGGTATTTAATATCCAATAACATTTTAAATATGCTTTTTTTCAACTTTACATGTAGTTATTCGTTGGTATGTTGCATTTATTCTGTCCTTAGAAGCGCTTTTTTTTTTTTTTTTATGCCTTGCCTACAAATGTAGTCGGTTTGATTTTGCCTTTATGGGATTCCTTGCTTTGAAACTAGTACTTGTGTAAGATTTTGTGCTCTAATAATATTTCTGCATTATATTTTGTGGCTTTTGTCCTTGACTTTGACAATGTTACTTCCAGTCTCTTCCATGCTGCCAAGTAAGTACAGAAGCACTGAATAATCTGAAAAAAAATTTCTAACGTATGGTACAAGCATGAACTATTATTTTGATCTTGCTGTAGTAAATGGTATGATTCAAATGATTTCGCTGTTTCCAAATCAATTTAATGGAAGTGGGGGCTAGGGAAGCTTAAAAACCTGCAATGGCCATGTGAAAAAGGAATAATTTTGACATTCTTCAGCACCTTTTGATATCAAATATTTTTTCTTAAGTGAGCTTTTTGTAATTTTGAAGTTCTACACTGTTGAGCTTATAAAGAAACTTAATTGGAGTGTACTTCATATCAAGCAGATAATGAGAAGTAATCCAAATATTGCCTGTGGGTCAGATAATGAGAAATAAATTCTAGTAGGGAGTGTGGGTGATGTACTTAATTTATGGAAGATAACATTGCACATGTGCTGCCTCATTAAATAGAACACTTGAAACATCTTCAAATCATTAAATATTAACAGTGAAATGATAGCTGTTGCATGGTAACTTTTGCTCTGTAGCCACAGCTTGCTGAAATATAACTAAATTGTAAACTTTTTCTCTGCAGAGCTTATGAACAAGCTGGCATGATGCTAAAGGTATGTTCATTTACTAGTTTGTTGGTTTGTTTTTTTTTAGAAAGTTCTGGCTTATAGTGAAGAATATCATGCATTGGGCCATTTTAGAAATATATGTAACTAAATTGTATATTGAGGTGATTTTTCTGTTGATTCATAATGTTGTGTGTTGTGTGCTCCCCCCTCTGCCCCCCAATGTCAGTTGGTTAGGGAAGCCGCATTTGGAATTGGGGTGTAAAATGTTATTTTCTGTTGTAGAGGGAAAGGGGAGGGCCTAATGTCAGAGGCTAATGGATGAGTGGTGCTGCTTCTGCTCCAAACTACCACAAATACCTGCCTTACGTGGAAGTTTGGTACTTACAAGTGAATCTTATGGAATTTCACTAGCTCTACAAGTTTGTAAATAAAAGTTAAAATCCTAATAAATAAGCTGTTACAATTTGTTTTGATTTGTCTCATTGTACATAAGCACAGTTCTTGACAGGAACATCCCTCTGGCTGTTGCTTTGCAGGAGATGCAGAGACTTCCTGAAGCAGTTCAGCTGATTGAGAAAGCCAGTATGATGTACCTGGAGAACGGGACACCAGATACAGCGGCAATTGCACTGGAACGGGCTGGAAAGTAAGTCTGTTGTATTGGTGGCTAGAATGTACGCAGCACATGGGTATATCTCTGGTATTTTTTCTTGTCTTTGATGCTTTCAGGTAAAAAATGCTTTAATTTCATCAGAAGAGAAATGGCTTATGTTTATTGCAGGTTAATAGAAAATGTGAGCCCAGAGAAGGCTGTGCAGCTCTATCAGCAGGCAGCATCAGTGTTTGAAGTAAGTTCCCTTCCCCTCCTCCCTCCTGCAAGGACAAACTACATGAAGATGAATGAATTGGTGATTAGGATCAGTTATGAAGTTAGAAAAGCTAAAAGAAAAAGCTAAAAAGCTTATGGTTAGCTTCTAAGTCATTTTTCCTTTTTTCACATACGTGTCTGAGTAACGAGGCTGAAGAGAAGGAGATTATAAAAATTAGGAGTCAGTTTGCTTTGCCTTTTCCTCAGTCTGGGACTTGATTGAACCTGAATTTTGTATGTTGCCAAGTTTTCTGCATTTTGTTGGACAGCCCAAAGGGTAGGTAACGTGGCTGCTGTTGAGTCCCAGAGCTTAAAATAGTTCTTTGAAGGCAAAGAAGAGCTCGCTTGATGCTCTGCCCATCCTGTGAGCAGATGATTTGCCTTTTTGCTACAGCACTGGCATACTTACTTATTGTCAGTGGTCACATGTTTCCAGATTAGCAAATTTGCATTGATGTGACTTTGCTCTTGAGTGTGTGAACTGTGGTTATAATAATTAACAGTTGTTACAATTTACAGAGGACATACTTAGATTAAAGTTTAGTGGTCTTAATTCTGTGTGAATGAAATATGCATGCATGAGGGGTTGTTTTGTTCTTTTCTAGAATGAAGAACGCTTACGACAAGCATTAGAAATGCTAGGGAAGGCATCAAGACTTCTAGTCAGAGGACGCAGGTACAGCTTTATGCCTCCTTTTTTTTAAATGTAATTGAATCTTTAATAGTGATTTTATTTTATTTTTTGTTTCTTGCTGTTGTTTTGTTTATATACAGTTACTTAATTCTGCTTTGAGATGCAGTTCATACTAAAATTCAGTTTCTGTGGGATATGCCATGTTCCTTCAGGAGCCAGCTGCTTTGTATTCTGGGATAGTAGAATGTTGACTGTAAGGCTTTGTTTCCTTTGTGTTTGTTGAAAAGCTAGAAAGCATATACCACAGCTTAAACTACTTCAGGAATTAATTTTTATTTTTTTTCCACCAGTAATATGTAGTACTTAAAAATCTTTTTTTTAGCTGTGGAATATTAGAAGAATTAAGTGACTAACCTCAGGAAACAAATCTGTTTGCAGCAGTCTGATTCTGGACTTTCTAAAGAAGAGTGTGTCTTGGTGTCTCAGTGGGAACTTATTTTAACTGTTAATTGCTAGCACCAAACTCGACCTGCAGTTCAGCTTGGACTTGCTTCACTGAAACATGAGTTCCTTTAAGAAATTGTCTGTTTTCTAATTCTACTTAAAGACACTATTTCACTGTAGAATTGTAGTCAGAAAAGTTAGAAAGGCTTTCACAGAAGGTCTTTCTGTGAAAGCAAGTCCATGTAGCTTATGAGAGATTTTGTTGCTCTGCTGCTTTATAGCTCAAGTGCTATTACTAGTTTTTAGGAGTTTAATATGCTCAAAAGCAGTTACTATGACTTAATATTGATAGTTCATGGATATCAGACTTACTGCTTGTTTCCAGTAACTTCATGACCTAAAGAAATCTTAGGGTACATAACAAGGCATTCATCTCATGCAATGTTATGAAAAATTAGGTTTCTCTGAATGAATAGCAGAGATGTTCTTAACCTGCATATATACAAAAGGAATTGCTGACTGTATCTTTCCTTATCTATTCTGTTAGTAAGATCTGCTGATTTTCAGTTGTGTTCTTGTTTATTCCAGTAGACTTGCTAGTGCATTAGTTACACTTTGTAATTAGCATTATTAGCCCCAGGTTCATTACCCTGTATTCCTAGCACTGATACTCCTGATTTTTTTTGTTGTTTTCTTTTTTCTTTTAGATTAGATGAAGCTGCATTGTCTCTTCAAAAGGAAAAAAGTATTTATAAAGAAATTGAAAATTACCCAACATGCTATAAGGTAAATTCTAAGAGTTTCTAAGAGTGCATTTTATGAAGTTTTTCTGGGTAACTAGTGACGACAGCTGACATCTGACTGACAATATGTACCTCTTGATTCAGGGATCGGTTTCTTGCTAAAAGATGAGAATTTGTGGTAGTGCATGTTTCCCCAACCTCTAATTATGTTTTTTTTTTTCACTACTATAATGTTGAAGATAAGATGCTGTTATCCACAGGAGATGTCAAAACAAACAAACACATAAAAAATAAGGATGTTATAAAAAAAGAACTAATCACAAAAACTGTTACTTCATGCTAGAGTTCATTACAGTGTTGTAGGAAGTCATCTATTTAACACGTGCTGAGGATATGGCTTACTACTTTATCACTCTGTTGTTCTGCTTTGTGTAAGTATCTTAGAATCATTGTGGGTTGTACTGCCCTTTTTCACAGCAAATATTAGTAGTCCCATATTTTTCTCATACTTTATTGTTAATTTCTAAAGAATCATCATGGTTTTTTGTTTGTGTTTATTTAGAAAACTATTGCTCAAGTCTTAGTTCATCTGCACAGAAATGATTATGTCGCCGCAGAAAGATGTGTGAGGGAAAGCTATAGGTAAGTCTCCTTCAAGTCCTATAATTTTAAACTGAATATTTAATTCATAGTGTTGATCTGTTCTTATGAAAGAGTGGTGGAAACACTGTCAAATTGTAAGATTCTACTTTGGTTGACTTGCAGGACAATAATAGCATTCCCTATTATAAGGCTCTTGGGAATCTTTTTTTGACTGTTAACAGGTTTAGCTGTAATTATTACAGTAATTCTTAGTTATGTGGGACAGGTGAAATTAGATGAAAATTAGAATATCTTCCCTTTTTTATTTCCTTGTTAAAAGCTGAGCAGAGTGTGTTATGACTGGCATTCTTGACTTACTGATACTTCTTGGGTTGTGTCTTTGTTTCAAATGGAAGAAAGAGGGATTAACTACTGTAAACACATGTTTAGGATTAAAAGTGGGTATTTCTGGATGTTGCTAACTGAATTTTATTTTTTCTGAGTCTTTTTGCCATACATGGAAGCCCTTAAAAAGTTGAAATTCTAACTGTATCTTTAAATTTTTTACAGTTTAAGGATGGAAATACAGAGTGCAATCTCAAAACATGCAATAGCAGCATCCCAGTGTAATCAATTAAACTATCTAGTATGGCAGTTAGATTGAGGGAAAGATTAATCTGACTGTTTTTGTTAAAGAAAAGTTTGCAGCACGTGAATTACTACATTTCTGGTTATGTTGACTTAGAGGATCTTGCCCGTTATCATACACTTGAAGAAGAAGAAAAGCAAGATTTCTACTTTTTGTGACTTTGTTAAAAATAGGTGATTGTTTAGAAAGCAGAAGGTAGTCCAGCTGAATACATTGAAATGACGAAGGCATTCTTTACACATGTAGGTGAAAATTTTGGTGTCAGAGTCTAGACTAGTGTTTAACACTGGTTCCAGAGGCTTTCCCAGCAACTCTCAATTTCAGCTTTCATTAGGACTTCAGTAACAAAATACTGAAACAACATATTTTACCTAAATTGTTTTTAGTGAAATGACTTGAACGTATGTTTAAGTTAATTTGTACTTTAGTTTTAGAAATCATTTTTCAAGTTTAATCTTTAAACATCTTGCCCTTATTTTCCAAGTCTTCAATTTGTATTTTATATATAGAAACTAATTACAGAATTTTTCTGTGTATGAAGTAGAGGAAAAGTTTATTTACTAGTGAGTAAAAATTGAAGAATTCTAATATTGTCTTTTTGTCTTGATTATGGTTCTGGTCTTGCTCTCAGCATGCAAACTACTATTACCGAAAGTTTAATTTTATGGATATGAACCATGTACATGGAGAAATCACAGTGGTTATAGGCAGTTCTGTGGAATAAGTCGTACATCAGATTCTTAAGTAGATTGCTGAAATGCACTAAATAAACTCTTAATTTCCTTCAGTATACCAGGATTTAATGGAAGTGAAGACTGTGCAGCACTAGAGCAACTTTTAGAAGGTTATGACCAGCAAGATCAGGATCAAGTTTCTGAAGTCTGTAACTTGCCACTCTTCAAATACATGGACAATGATGTAAGTAGGCAGTTCCTATGGAGTTATCTACTCCGTGCCTTTGAAATTTTGTGTCTTCTTTCACTTTGCTGCCTGACAATGTAAGTTCCCACATCGTTATTCCTTTGCAATGTTGAGAAGACTTAGGTGAAAGAGCAGTTTGTTATGGATTTGCTGTGTAAGTTTGGCAAGTTGACCAAAAATCGGTTCTCTTCAGTTTGGTTCCTTAGGGGCCAGAACAGTTTGCTGCTTGTGCTTTATCTCAGGATTACCATATAGCTGATACAGTATAAACATTACAAAATATGATGCCTAGAGGATGGCACTGTTGATTATGCCCCTTCTTCCCACCACCTTTTTTTTTTGATAGATAGGAAAGGTGTGAAGTAAAAGAGACATCTATCAGTGCCAAACTTTGTACAGTAGTGTCCAGTTTTACTTTTTTTATTATGTTGAATAGTAAAAATTACGGTACAGGTCTTACAGAAAGGCACTTTTAAGACTTAATACATGAGCCATTATTAGATAATGTATGCAGACCTGCATTCTGAATTTTCTTTTTTACGTAAAGCTTGAAACACAGAAGCTGTAAGAGTGACAAAATTATTCCATAATAAGCAATGTCAAAATGGATCTTGCATCCCATTCTCGGAATGTTTGAGAGAGAAAAAATGAACCAGTGTTAGGCTCATTCTAATCTGGAAAAATATACTTTGAAAGTAGCATCAATTGATTTTCTATACTGAATGTTGCCTACATGTTTATTGTATCAGTCAGTTCTGTGCAGTGCAACTCAGCAAGTTCTTACTTCTGTGATAGTGCAGAAATTAAACTTTTCTTGTAATTGTCAGTATGCCAAGCTTGGTCTTACCTTGGTGGTCCCAGGAGGTGGAATCAAGAAGAAATCGCCAAATGCTGCACAAGACAAAGCAAGAGGACCAGCTGCAGTGGGCTCTCATGCTGACGAGGAAGAGGATGAATATTCTGGTGGACTATGTTAGCTACTGCATAGGCAGTCTTAAATATCTGACTTATTTGTGATGTTGAGAATATCCAAAGGCACCAGATTTATCAGAGCTTCATTGCAATTGTGGTATGGGAATGCTGATATTAACTTGGCAGCTTCTGGGTGCAATGCAGGAGAAAAAGCATGATTGTACCTATCATCTTGAAACATCTTTGGACTTCATGTCTTACCTGGTAGCTTCTTCAGGGCTCTGTCTGCAGTTGATGGGAAAAATTTGAGATAAATTTTTACTGAAAGCACAGTTTAAAAGAAACCAAAACCGTAGAAGCACTGGAATATGGAGAGTGGTACAAATTTTTAAATCCTGGATTTCAACAGCTGACAAAATTTTGTCCTAGTAATATGTTTGTGATTGTTTTCTGAGTTAAACATACAATCATTCATCTGGCTATTTCTCTCCTGTTTAACACCATTAAAAGCAGCCTGTGCCATGCAGGATTTTTCACTAGTATAAACACTAGGGGGAGCATTCAGTTTATTTTCAACATGTTTTTTACCCACTGCAGAATATTATTTTACTACCTTATTTTTTATGAGCACTATCCACATGGATGTGGAAAATACTAAGTGAACTGATTTGAAGCCTAAAAATACACATCTTTCATGTTAAGAGCTTTATTGACCTCGAAATCAATGTGTGTGTAGTGTATGTCATGTCCAACTTAGGAATGGAAAGAGTGGACAACCTTTCTTAGTGGTTTTTGGGAAGCATGCTATAACCAAAAAAGAAACTGAAGATAGTAGATAATGTACATTGAATATAAAGCTCTGAAGACACTGTTTAACAAAAACTTAGTGGAGTGTTTCAATGATATGTTTGAGTTCAAGAGTGTCCAAAGTGTTTGTTTACTAATCAATACACTTATATTATGAAGACATTTCATTCTTTCATATTTTCGAAGTGTAGAACAGCTGTCTCTTACAAAGAGCATTTTTCAAACTAGTTCAAGATCCAGAGTAACAAAATTTTCATGTATTTTCATTTTAATTTGGTTTCAAGTCATCACGTGTTTTGCAAGCTTCTGTAGTGTGTTCAATTAGTTTGACCAAATTGACATACTAAGAGCTGTATCTGTGGTCTGTTTCTTCAGAAGAACCAAATCAAGATTGCACTAGGGTGAGATCACTTGGAATCCATCAGGGATTTGTGTGTGATACATGATGCCCAAAGTTCAATTAAACAATAGACCAAAAGCACAGTGTTAAGTGTTGTTACAGTTTCTGCCATATTAAGGAATTGGACATCTTCAAAAATATCAAGCATATGACTAACATATGTATGTGATGTCAGACGTAATTATGATGAAAATAAACTTTTAAAGGTCTAATACACACTTTTCTTGGGGTGGATGGCGCTCACTAGCATCGTGGTGGGTTGTGCAGTTTGCAGGCAGGGCTGCTGTAAAAGTCATGTTCAATTTAACAGGTTCAATTTAACGTGTTCAAAAAACGGTTTAATCTTTTTGTATTATGAAATAATCTTGGATTTGTTATTAATAATGCATATAGAAGTTTCTTTTGCTCCTCTATAAAACAGTCTAAGCAAGACGTTTTTCCCTGAGGATGGCCACAGGTCTACATGAAATACAGTTTTCAAGACTTTCCTGTAACTCTTCTTTTTTCAGCACTGGAGCAGCTCACTCTGTTTACTCAACTTCTGCCTTCAGGGTTTGTTCATGAAGGTGAACCATGCACTTTTTATGGGGAGTCTTTATTACAAGTACTAAAAAAAAAAAATGCGTGTGCAAGAGCATTGGGAACACCAGCTAGTATTCTTCAAGCATTTCCTGCTGCTTCCAATTCTGAAATCAGTTTTGTTGAATGGTCCCAAGGAGTTTGCTTTCTTTGTGTGCATGAGCAGTTGCAGATATCTGAGAAGATGATATGCATAAGAAGAATAGTGAAACTTGTGTGTGCTTCTGTGAAAAAACTTGCAGGCTTTATTTAAACTGTGCTTGTAACACTAACAGGCCCTTAAAAGAGAAATTAAAATTTATGCATTCAGTTCTTAAAGCGTACTTTTCATATGGCCAAAAAACAAAAAAAAAAAGATATGCAAGACTGTCTTCCCCACAACCCCATTACTTTCTGTTTTTCCCTGTGCCAAACGTGGAAAATCTGGGATAAATCTGAACATACTAAGCTGCCACTGAATGGGGCTTCTCTGAATCTTAGGCATAGAATCTTAATCTGTGATTGCGATGTTGCTGCAAAAACCAAATCTGAAATGAAAGTGTCTGAAAATAAGATGGTCTATTTTATATAACTTATTCTCCTATTTTAGGCAATGAAAGTGTGATAGGAATATTAACTACCTTTTAGTAAATGTTTAACTATAGAAGAAGCTATCTGTATATTATGTGTGTTTGTTTCTATTTTTCAAAGCAATTTGCACACTTATGTAAATACCATTTAAGTGGTATAAAATGGGAAAGATACCATTTTCAGCAAGGAAGTTTCCAAAATCAGTGTTGACTGTAAAAAAAAAAAAAAAAAGAAAAACCCACAAAAAAGCCCACCACCGAAACTAAATAGTGCATGAAGACTGTGTGATGGCCAACTCAATGTATATGTAAAATTAAAAGATTTCTAAATTATCTGTAACTTAGTATGACCAAGTGCAGTGTAGAACCTGTGCTTTATTTGTTCTTTTTCCAAATCTGTGGTGTGTTAAGAGTACAAAATGTGTTTGTAACAGCTCTACAGATGCTGCCTCTTGAGAAGAGGCTGTGTGTTTCACCAATATGAAAAATAAAACTTGGAACTAATGCATTTGTGCTAGCTTTCCCTGTTGTTGATCAGGTCCTGCTGACACCAGCGCTTGAAGATGAATATTAGTTTTTTTTATCAGTAAGGTTTTTTGTGTGACTATTTCTCTGCAGATCTTGCCACCAAGTGTTGCAGGTATATTGTATGATCAAGGACTAAGTCTTGAGAGCCTTTTGGCTCATGTTTGAGTGTTGAAAGTCAGTGGTGTCTAATCTCTATGGCTTATTCACTAGATAACTGCTTATAGCCCGTTTCACTTACCCTGTGTTTTTTGTTTTTCTGACTGACTTTATGGTACCTTTCTGCTGGCTTTCATTATTTGGGGTGGTGACACATCTTAGGCAATTCTTGTCCCCTCAGAGTAAAAAGTATGTATGTGTTTTGCTTCTCTGCTGATTGTAACAACTTGGTTGTTCATTGTTATCTCTTCACTACCCAAAGACATATTTGGAAAATTATTATATTGGGGGATTGTCAGACCTGAATTTGCTGCCTTTAACAACTTGAATTAGAACACCTTTACAAAATATAAGATGTGAGATCTTTTAACACTTTAGAGACTTCATCATTCCAGAAAAATCACCTTTCCTACTCTTAGTCAAACTTGCTGGAGTACTTGAAGGCTGAAGAATCTGGCTCTGAAGTTCTGTGTGACAGGAATCATCCCTCTGATGTTGCGAATAAGCAGCTGTAAAAATGGTAAGAATTAACCTGCTCTTGAAAAAAATAAAGCTTCTTATAAAGCTAAATGATTAAAAAAAAAAGTATTGAACTTTTCTGAATGTAGGAAATCTAAAAAAGAAGCCACCCTAACAACAAGTAGCGGTAATAAATTTGGATTAAGTATATGTAACTTTGCAGAGCAGGGGGAAACCTCGGGATCTGTGGTGGTTTGAGCAGGAATGTTAACCTCTAAGCTAATGGTCTGTAGAGGCCAGCATTTCCAGGAGCCGGAGATGTACCTGTTGGAGATGGTATGCATGAGTGACTACCTCCTATAGGCTGATGTGTCTTTGTTTCAGAGCTGCTGTCATTGAGGTTCAGTTGTGATTTCCAGTGTGTATGCAATGCAGCAGTGTAGCCTCCAGCCTGGAACAGAAGCACGAGGCAGCTGCAAGGCTGCACGTACGTTTAAGGAACATATGGCTGTTGTTGGCTTTGTTGAGTCTAGTGGGAATAGGAGTAATGAGTGTGGCTGGGCTCCAGTGTCCACGCTGCTGGAATGTCAACTGGTGTGCAACCAGTTTAGATTACTTGACAGAAACATTTTGATACTGGAGTGACAGAAGTAGGCCCTAGCATGTGTAAAGGGAAAACGGGTTATCATAAGTTGTCTTGTTTGTTTTGGATATGTATTTACGTGCCTTTATTTTGCCTTGTTTCTGAAGTTGGTGTAACCGCGAATGGGTTTGCTTTCCCAAGAGCATTGTTGCTTTCTTGGCGCTAGATGGTGCCGCAGAGCAAGCGAAGGGCTTTCCTTAGCTGTTGTGAAGCCTTTGCTCTTTGTCTAGGATAGCTTTTATGTTTAAATATGATCAGCTGGAGTACTGATTTGGTTAGAACATCTGCATGGTGACCTGCTCTTGCTGCAGCTTCTCATGACTTGAAACACACTCCTGAAGTTGTTGAAGAAAGCAGTCCTGCAGGGCCAGCCCATCACCTTCTCCTCCTGCACTGGGTACCACTGTGCCACTGGCAGGAGGCAAGGGGACTGCTCTGCAAGAGAGTGGCCCTGGTTGTAGGGAAGAAAGCTTAACCTGTGCTGTGTTTTCATGGTACCTAGGAGTAAATACAGGTCCAAATCCTCTCTCCCCTTGTGCTGATACACATCTCACTTGCCTCCTTCCCCACCCCCTCCAACTTAGACAGATATGCTTATATTTTTGCCAGAGTGTTTTTATCACATGAGAAATGGGCCTTTCAAGAGGTTTGAATCCCAGCTGTGATGGATATGACTGATTTGCCTTTCTCTTCCCTTTTCTGACTATGGGCTTGAGAAATTAGTGATTAAGATCCAGGTTACAGAGGGTGCATGGTTGAAGAGTAAATAAAATAGTAGCCTGTGTGCTATATAACTTGCTAATAGAGATTTCTAGGGCTGGCTGCTGCTGCTACAATTGCAGCTCTCCTTGCAGCCACAAAATTTTAGGAAATGTCTCATGGACAAAATGCAGCATTAGGGACAGAAATCGAGAAGCTGTGGGGAAAACAAGTTAACTGAATATAGAAGGAGTGAGGAAGTCGGTCATAATGCAATGGTATTTTGGCTGATGGAAGAGAGGGATTCTGCTGGAATTTGCCAAATGGACTATGCTTCAAAAAAAACATGCCACTTTCTGATTCATCTGCAGAAGCAATGGAGGGAGGGAGGACTGGTGTGACTGTTCTGTTCATGCTGGGGAGAGCTTCTGCTGCCATGTGTGATGTGAGGCAGTATGAGCACAGACACATTTTGGGAATTTCCTCCTTTGTCTATCGCTAACTGACTGTAATTCAGGAATTAAAGGTTAAAACCTTATAGCAGCAGACAGGGACCGTGTTCTTCTGTGTGTGTATGCAGCTGACAGCTTTCTAGCCAATACTTTCTGTGCTGCACTGCTCAACAACTGCCCCAGAGTAATTGTGTTAGTAATAATATAGCAGAGAATTCATGAAGTGTAAAGACCTATGGTACCCCATATGACTTACTGGTGCCAAGTGTTTTATTTAACTGATCACCATCCAGTAATTTTCTGGCTCCTGTCTTGTGTAAATGTATGATTTTTTCCAAGCTGAATGGCTGAATGAAGAATGAGGATCCTCTCAGCTGCACCAGAGCCTGGAGCACTGGCTGGTGTGTAAGGAATGAGTAGTAAAAAGTGGGTGGACTTGGAGAGTAAGGCAGCTGCGTAGTAACACCAACTGAGCAAAATACGTGAAAGCTTTGATAGCAGAGATGCAAAAATGCTGGTATATTTAAAGCTTCTCTTTTCATTAAGATATTATTCTGGTACTTCACTGGTCTTAATTTTTGTCCTCTGAAACTTGCCAGATAATGCATCCTGTGGGAATTCCTGAGAACTAATTTTCTTTGAAACACCAGTGGAGAGCTATTTCTCCCTGCTTTGAA